TCGTGTTGGGAAGCTGAGCATCACGGAATGCCAGGTTATTGGAGCAAAATGTTTTTGCATTGAGGGAGTACTTAACTAGAGGCCCAATGTCTGTCTGCTACCTTAATACTTAACAAGTAAATATATGTACATAGATCTATTTCCCTATCATTGTATAGAAATAGATTTACATATGTACATGCCCATATTTAGACCTCTATAAATGTCCTTTGTCTCCTAGTTCTTTCCTCTATTGAGGAAGACCCTTAATGCGATGATTGACACAGTGGCTGCAACAATAGGCTCAAACATTTCAATTGTGCGGATGGTGCATGACTGGGCCCTCTTTCCTTCTGTTGCCCTTAAGATACCTATGAGTTGTAACCAAGTCAAGGTACCTAAGAAGAACAACAATGTTATGGAGCTGCCGTAGAGAGAAAATAAAAGAGGAAATGCAAGTCCTGTAGCAACCACCCAGCATATAGTAACGTTTCTTTGCTAGTGTGAGGTAAGGGAGGAGTGAAGAGGGGCCGTGTTATTCAAGGTGATTGCATGCGTTTGCACTCTCAAATAATTGGAGTCATGATGGCTGTTTGCTAGATTCTTCTTATTGGCAGCCGGTCAGACTTGAGGCGTGGGAGACATGCAAGGGCAGGGCAAGAAAGTTTTTTGAACCAGTATTCCAGGTGTGTTATTTATTTCCTAAAGAAAAAAATCCAAACACATAAATCTCAATTATTTTGACTTAACTTATACATATGAAAAATCCTATGAAATCTATAGAAATAAAATCACATTCAATTATATATGTAAGGAATCATTATTATTGGAAAAAAGAGAAACTGAAAACACAATGGTACAATGTGAAGGCCATGCTAGCAAACCTAAGCCTTGAGTAACCGTAAACCTATAGTGTGAAACTATATCCTATCACAACCAAATGGCAAGCTATGTGCTAATTATTTGGACAACCAGGGGAAAAGTTGGTTTTTCAATTAATGTCTCAGATTTCCCCTTCATTTTCTAATCTCTTCTTATGGAATTTACTTTTTGCCTTTATGAAAACAAGTCTGTTACATTACATAGCCACTCTCCTCTTCAATGGTGGCATATACTAATAGTATTACTTAGCTCAATGATATATTTAATCTGTTTTCTTTTTCTTTTTAGAAATAGTGCAATGGGAAGGGAAATCTACTTAAGTAGATAGAGTTCATCACAAGAATGTCTTCTCCTGGGGGCTACATTTTAAGTAGGAACTTTGTTTGGAGACTGATTGCGTAACTCATGATGGCAGCTGGTAGGGTAGACCGCTGAAGGGGAGGAGGTGAGACGTTAAACCTCAGACTCAAAACCTCACTACCACCGTGTCGATTTTGACCCATAGTAACCCTCTGGGTTTGTGAGATATTAGGTGGTACTATGAAAATTGAGCTTCAAATACATATGTAGTCATCAATAGATCTGTTTTTCTCTCTTCCTTCTCAATGGGCGCGTGTGCATGCACACACACACTGTCTGATGTCTCCTTTCATCCACTTTTCTGTTGTCCGTCCCCCAGAGAGGAGGTTATAGGTAGATCATTGTAATCAGTTCCCCTTTCCACCCCATCCACCCTCCACCCTCCCAGTATTGCCACTCTCACCACTGGTCTGAAGGGATCATCTCTCCTGGATTCCCTGTGTTGCCAGTTCCCATCTGTACCAATGTACATCCTCTGGTCTAGCCATATTTATCGTTGCTACACTACCCTGACTGGCTCGTCTCCTCTCCGCGACCCTTCTGTAAGGAGATGTCCAGCTGGCTCTCTTAATTCTAAAGAGTTTTTTTTTTTTACTTACTACAACCATGAAGGTGTTTGGAAAATGCCAAAACTACTAATTCTCTTTAACGAGGAGTACTTATTGTAACATTTCTTCTTATTAACACAAAAATTATGCTCAGAATAACCATTTACTGGTCATTAGACTTATTTCCTTTTTGATTTTGATTATAAAACCATATTGAAGGGACTTTGATAGTTGAGATTCTTAATTTTTGGGTGAAGAATGGAGGCCTCAAGTGGTCCAACAACTTTCCCAGAATTTCCAAGCTGGTTAGTACAATATTAGCAGCAGGCCCTTATCCTATGCCAGCTCTCTCATGTTCAGTGTAAGCTCTGGGTTCTGATTTATTTTACCTTTTGTTAACAAAAAGCGGTTGGCCATCTAGCTGAGAAGCAACAAAGCCCACATGGAAGAAGCACACCAGCCTGTGTGATCACGAGGTGTCAATGGGATCAGGTATCAGGCATCAAAGAACAAAAAATCATATCATTGTGAATGAGGGGTTGTGCAAAGCCTATCTGTAGGCAACTGGACATCCCCTTACAGAAGAGACACGGGGAAGAGACGAGATAGTCAGGGTGCAGTATAGCAATGATGAAACATAACTTTCCCCAAGTTCTTTAATGCTTCCCTCCCCTCCCCTCCCGCCCCACTATCATGATCCCAATTCTACCTTACAAATCTGGCTAGACCAGAGGATGTACACTGGTACAGATAGGAACTAGAAACACAGGGAATCCAGGACAGATGAATCTCTCAGGACCAGTGGTGAGAGGGTAGAGGGAAGGTGGGGCAGAAAGGGGAACCAGATCACAAGGATCTACATATAGCCCCCTCCCTGGGGGATGGACAACAGAAAAGTGGGTGAAGGAAGACATCAGACAGTCTAAGATATGACAAAATAATAATAATTTATAAATTATCAAGGGTTCATGAGGGAGGGGGGCCAGGGAGGAGAGGGGGAAAATGAGGAGCTGATACCAAGGGCTCAAGTAGAAAGCAAATGTTTTGAGAATGATGGCAACAAATGTACAAATGTGCTTGACACAGTGGATGGATGTGTGGATTGTGATAAGAGTTGTATGATCCCCAATAAAATGATTTAAAAAAAAGCGGTTGGGCATTTATGTCCTAATAAAGCTCATATGATATTGTTACTTTTAGGATTAATTTACATTTATATGCAAATTTTTATTTTATATTAAAAATATATGTACTTACTCATGTGTGAGTGAATTTGAGAGCCAGTAATGGCATAGTTTCACATGATTGTTAATTAATAGTTTAATTAATCAAGAAGCAATAAAGCTGGATATACTTGAAAAAGTAGAAGTTGGCATAAAACTGTAATGTTCATTGAATGATAGACTGGAACGTTCATTTTAAATTAAGGCAAAATTAACATTGTGCTTATATTGAAGTATTCTGACAAAGTAAAAACAATTTAAATATATGTAGTTTTTCAAGACTCTAACTCTGGATGAGGTGGATTGAACCTGCGACTGCAACAATATTCTGGGGCTGGCACAAAACCGGGCAGGTTCCTTCTGTTGTCGTCAGGGTTGCTATGAATCGGAAGCAACTCCACTCCACTAACAGAACCCCAACGATATCTCAAACACGAATCTTAGTTATGTGAATGGACGTGGTAATTTAATTAAATCCACGTGGTCTTTGATTTTTATTACACAGATAGAGCTCCACTCTGTTTCTACTCTTGGAAAATCAAGTGCATAATAATTTACTCGTGACTCACAGAAACAACCTATTTCTCTCGACACATTCTAAAAGGCACCTCAACGTATATATCAAGACTTGTCATTATCAAAATTCTTTCTGCAAAAGAAAGCTGCTGGAAGCATTTTAGTGCTTTTTTTTTTTAGTGGATTAAAAAAATGCAACACAGGATTTTTTAAATCGACGATTTCCATCCCTCCGGGGAATTCTGCATTTGAAATCACGGGAAGTCATCATTACACCGAAGCTCTCTTCCTCGCTCCTGAAGTTAGGGGTGTGTGTGCAGGTAGAAATCAAAACCACACCGAACTCACTGCCATCGAGCCGATGCCGATGCCGATCATGGGACAGGGTAGAACTGCCCCTGTGAATTTCCGAGACTGCCTGGTTAAAGGGAGTAGAAAGTCCCGTCTGTTCTCACGCGGAGCAGCAGGCAGTTTCGACCTGATGACTTTGTGGGTTGCATCCCAACGTGAAACCACAACGCCACCAGGGGTCCTGTTCCAGCCAAGAAGTAGAGCAGTCAAGTAAAAATGTGCATATGATTTCTGGCAAGAAGAGCCATGTTCATTCCCTAGAGAGGACACAGCTTGCACACTTTCGTAGAAGTAGTTCTCTCCCACCCGGAAGTTCAAGCCTACTGTCTCTTGAAATGGTTTGTTTTGCTGTCATCGGATTTCCTCAGCCACCTTGGGGTTGCAATCAGGGAGATGTCCGCTCCCTGATCATTTGGATGGAAGGGGGGTTTTCCCAGGCCGTTGACGTCTTTGGCGCTGCAATTTCCCAATGCCTATCATTGCCGAATGCTGTCATCGAGGGAGAACGCAGGTGTTTAATTCGACAAGACGTGCTAGAAAGAGCAGCCCGCGATCGGCCCTTTTCCTGCTCGCTGCTTTGCCCGTGGATCCCATCGTCCGCGCGGTTTGTTGAATGAAGTTGGTGCTACTTCCATTCAAGTTGTGGTGCAGAGCTAGATCTGCCAGGCCCGCGCGCCCGTTCGTCCTCCGGCGATGCTGGGGAACCGGCGAAGGCCCGCCCTCTTCAAACGGCAGGCGCAGAATCCGGGGCTGCGGGGGGGTTGGCTTTGCGAGTGGCGGGGTTGTACTTGGCCGTGGGAGCCC